CTAATCACAAAAAACCTCAATGTTCAATTTTTATATATACTCTACCATCAATAAAAACAAGTTGAGAGACAAAGCTCTCAATTAACCAGGTTTTTAGTAAATAAATTTTGCTTTAATTTAGTTGCCAAGAATYCAAATTYGTAATGCAATTTAGGCACACAAACTTTTGATTTYATATTCAATCAACAATTTAAAGACTTAGCAGTTTATTTTCAAAGAAAAAGTTGACGTTTATTTTTTTATAGTTTTATTGTTAGTTACCATTTAATGGGGTGGTGGTGCAGTGGGTTTCTTGGGGTAAACAGCATTTCTGAGCAAAGTAATAAATATAAATGAGTATTAGATAAAGAGAATCAGAATAGACATTATTAGGTTTTCCATTGTTTTATAAAAGCTACCACAAAGACATGACAACAGACAGACAGACGGTTCTTGTGCACCAGCTTTAAGATGAGCTCAAGTAAGTAACAATAGATCACTGATGAGAATGATTGACAGCTGTCAATTAAATATACAAAATCATGAAAATTATACAGACTTCTGAAAAGCTCCCATATAGATACACACACCAGTTTTAAAATAAAGTTTACAAGTCAAACAAAATATATATCAATTATTATTTAGTTTTTTTTTATAATTATTATTTATAATTGTTTAATTTATTTTTTAAAGAATTTTATCAAGAGGAGTTGATACAGGAAAACAGGAAAAATTCAGTTTAGATTCTCATTTCTCAGAAATTCAGTCTAAAATGCATTACTTCATTAGTTTACTGTGCAATTTTGAAAGGCTGTGACTTTGCATCATTCAAAGCAATACAATAGTGAGCAAGTAAACCTTTCACAGCAGGTAGTTTTCCTTGCAAGCTCGATATGGTAACCTTTCAAAGAAACACAGGAGACTATGAAGGCAGCCATTACATTGTAGTTATGCTACCTGACACCTTCCTGTTTAGACTATCTTTCTGCAGAATTCATGAGCTTATCAGTTTGTGTGAATTATGACATAAAGACTACAATCATAACGACAATAGTTGAGGAAATTTATATTAATTTCATATTCTTTTTATTAAATATCAAAAGACAATAATTTCACAAATCTTGAAGGCATAATAGACATCTCTARATGTATTAATTTGTCTACAAGCTGTACAAAGGATGGATAAAGTTACCAACCAGATTTTCAATAGCCTCCTTCATTTTTTCGCTGCGCCATTTTGAATGTTAGCATAGCAGTGCCTTTGCAACTATTGAGCATGCAATGATAAGAAACCTTCTTTCATGCTAGCAAATGGTTGTCTTGCTTTCAATGCAAAGACACAGCTACCTTTCATAAACCATGAAGGAGACTATTAACATATTATTTTATAACTGTAAAGAGACTTATCCAGTGTATTGCATTWTAATTATTGTTATATTGCCTAGTGTACTGATCATTGCTAGCTACACGGCTACATTGCACTGTAATCTTGCTTTCTTTCTGTCTTTTTCCTACGTTTTCTCTTCCCTGACTTTGTTTTTTCGCCTTTTCTTTTCCTAACAGTATATCAAAGCCACAAAGGTAAAGCCATGGCATCATATAATWATTGACATTATCAGGGGTGTGTCCAAGATGTGGTTCCATGGGTTCCCTCTCTTCTTTGGCAGACAAAGTATTTGAAACTCTTGTATGAGACTTTATTTGCCAAAGAAATATAGGGTAGAACATTTTCAGAAAGTTTGGTTTGAATCGAAAACAATACTTTAGTGTGATTTTGCAGTCAGTCATCTTACATTGCAGGCCAAAGATGGTATGATTATCAATATTTAGTGTAAGTTGCATAAAAATAATAAATTTTATAATCACAGTTTAGCTATTAATTGTTCACCCTTTGGGCTTTTTAATAATAACAATTTACATTCATTGGCTGGATGACAGTAAAAACTTACTTTGGGTTTGCCCATAGTTTCTTTTCTTGTCCAACTCTAATAATAGAAAACAGAGATTAAATGGAAATTGGAAACTGATTTGAACTGCTTCATAGAAGATATGTATGTTCCAATTTTCTTGAATACTATTTATATTAAATACTATACTTACGGCTGTCCCATCTCCATCATATCATGCCTACAAGTCAAAAAAAAAYAYAYAYAMAAAGAACTTTAGAAATAGGATTAAGAATAATTGTATGTACGATTGGAAATTGATTTACAAATTATTGATTGATTGAATTGAATTACTAATTGTGTACATCACTTTGCACTATTTACAACCATAAAAACTACCATGGAACAATTATCAGAATTTAGTATTACGTGCCTTAGAGTTGGCCCTCTAACTTTGAACAATATTATTGAATGGTTACACGACAGCATAAATCAACTCAGGAAAATCACTTACCCATCATAGTCATCAAAATCACTTTCATATTTCATACGCCGGTAGTGTTTGGCCAATTTGACACTGAATATAATGGCAGGAATGAAGAAGAACAAACAGAAACCAATTGCCAACCAAAAACCATTCTGAAAAACACATAAAATATATAATAATATGAACTCATGATATAGAGTAAAGGCAGGAAAAACATGAAATAAGATCAAACTAAATACTAACAAACAGTAGCTATTTAATAGAGATAATTTAATTGTCAGTTAATGAACCAGAACGCAATGAAGATGAATCCACATGGGACCATTTTTCATTCATCTTTATTGCGTTCTGGTTCATTAAATTCTGACAATTTGTCTCTAAATAACTGCTATTTGTTAGGTATGGTTTTCCCGCGTTTGCTCTAATAAATTATAATTGTGATAAAAAGATGTGATTTTCCTAGTCCAAAGTATCTTTCCATCTGTATTTCTGTCCATCTCTCTGACTGACATGTCTGTCTGTCAGTCACAATAAACCACAGTTGTAAGTGATTTGTCATTCAATCATTGTGCCTTTGTTTGTTTTCCAGCCCCATTTCTTTGTTTAATACTGTATATCTGTCTGTCTGTCAATCATAGTCCATATTTGATGGATACTTACAAATGGCATTAGAAAATCTTCACATGCCAATACAACAACTGCATCAAATATATTTGTCAGAGGTTTACATCGACCAAGCTCATGTGTCACCTTGAAATTAAAAATAATAATAATTATTATATTAACCATAATGATTGCTTTTCAACAAGTTTAGGAGTTTTTAGATATTTTCAAAGAATACTCCAGTTTCGAATTTCCCAATGCTCTGTGTTAGCCTCATTTGTGCGCAAAATATTCCTTATTGTGAGCGTAAAAGTGTGAGATTTCAAATCAAATTTATTGTCTTTCTTCACAAATTCCATGCGTTTTTTCGAGCTATCAATGAAACAAAAGAATATGRCACTTGGTTTTGAGGCTAACACAGAGCAAACCAGAACTCGAAATTGGAGTATTCATTGATATACTTTCTCAACCTTCTCAACCTCAAAGGAGGATTCATAAAATTTCACAAAGATTAGMGGATCCTAAGGGAAAATTTGGTTGACATGAAATTATATGTAGCCTCTATACTATTGCTAGGATTTGTTCYCCTAAGAATCAGGAATATTCATATCATTACTAAGCAGCTTTTTAATGTTGCTGGTGACGAAGAAAATGTAATTTATATTTTTTCACAGTTTTCCACTGATTCAGAAAATGATACTCACCAGGTGCAGTATGTGAGCTGTAAACTGAAACCCATATCCAAGTACTCTGTCTTTGTAGTTGGTAATTACCTAATGATGCAAATTAAAGGATTTGAATTAGGTTATCAAAATTACAGTGCAAATCAAAAACCTACGACTGTTGGGTGTTTTTAAATTGGTCATTGACCAATGCTCCTATTTGGAGAAAATGCAAATGTTCAATGCTATTTTAATAAGGACATTTTTTCATGCTTTCCTTGGTGTTTAAATGGTAAAGGTCTTTGAACAAGAGAAACTGTCGTCAAAAAGGACAGTGCTTATTCACTTTGAATTCAAAAATGGAGTATTCAGAGTGAGATTAGTGCATTAGGCACAAAGAAAARTTCAAAAGATCAAAAATAAAATACAGCTACAYTCTTCGGRAAAAGCAAATGAGACACGATTCTTAGGTTCTTTTACCCCTTATCCCTTGATAATGTTGTACAATGTATACATCAATTAAAATTACTTATTTAAATTACTACAAAAGAAAGATTTGTATAAATTGTTTTTAGCTTACCGTTTTTACTTTATTAGCAGAGCCATGAAGTGCAGTTTCTGCTTCTTCAGCTGCTTTAAGTGTCTTTGTTGCATCATCCTACAAAATAAAGCGGAAAATATATAATGCATTTTTTTAATACACAATTTTCAATTGCATGCCTGCCACATTGTCTGTCCGTCAGCTAAATTGTCTGTCCGTCATCTAAATTGTCTGTCTGTTCACTGCATTTCTGTCATTCAATTTGTCTATCTACCAACTTCTTATTTTAACTGCCCTTCCATAAACCATGATTCTCTGCTCCACTATTTTTCTGCCTTTCATCTATCAACCCACTACTTTGTTTGACTCCCCCATGTTGGTTTGTCTGTCTGTCTGCCTGCCTAATTCAAGCCCTGAACTCACATTCAGATTTCCACCAATTTTCTTCAGTTCAACCACATTTTGATCCAGTTCATTCTGACAAACAAATCAATTAATATGAATTATTAAAATCCATGATCTCTACTGTTTTTAACAACAATTCAAAAGCATAAAGTGCACTCAAAAAAAGCGTGAAACAATTCTTAACAATCAACAACTAAATAAGATTTAGTTATCAACTAAGAATTCACTGGGGCATGAACACAATGTTTTTGCCTCAAAGAATTATTAGTTAGTTGATAACTAAATCTTATTATTAGGCACTAATTAGTTAAGAATTGTTTCACGCTTATGTGGTGTGCACTCTGCAAGTCATGGCGATCATTTTAAACAATGCAAACAAAAAAGATTTCAATTTCTCATGTCAAAATAATATATTATTTCACATGTTTTGAATAGCTGAATATTTCTCCTAATAAACTACTGCGCAGCATTATTTGATGATAAAAGAATATCACCAGCAGCATTGACATACCGCTTTTGAAGCCATGGCTTGCACTGTATCCTTATCCAAAATCCGTAGTGCTGCTGCAGTTGCCCTTGCTCGATCAATGATACTCTATATTGAATAAAAATGTTGTATAATTTGTAGGTGAAAAAATCAAAACCTGTTGTGATAATGACATTTTTGAGGCTTACAGCCCTGGTTTATTACTGTTTTTCAAAAAATATTGAATATATTTCATTATTTCATCAAATCATGATATACCTGTGCTTTAGTTTGATTTCCTCCAGGTAAACCAGATTTAATGGAGGTCATATTATCTGCAAATACATCTAATGTATTTGCCAGCTCTGTCAGATTTTGAGTGGTGATCCCTTTTCTTGTCTGTCAGTTAAATAATACATATTTATTAATTTATACGATTTCAAGAATCTTTGGAACAAATCAGAATAGACCACTTAAAGAAATTATTAGTCCATTAGAGTAGATGGGTAGACAATAACGACAACAGTTTATAGGAATTTGATTTGGAAACATGGATTTACTGACGTTTCAGGCATAAATCCTTTGTCAAATAAATAATTAATGTCCGAAAATTCTTTAGTTATTCTTTAACTTTACCTCATTTGTGAACTGAGCAAAGTTGATACTCTCAACGCCTGAACTATTTAGCTCTCTCAAGCTTTTTTTGGAGTCATTTGTGAGTATTGTTTGATCTGTCAGGTTAACATTTAAACTTTCAAACTGRTGGTCAACTGTATCCCCCAATAACTGTWAAAAAAAACAAGACACAAAATAAATGTTATTKAAATYTGTAAAAATTGCAYTAGTCAAGTTACGTAATAATGCCAAACATACATTCTCAAACTCATTAAGGGTATACTGACATATCCGTTGCTAGGGAAATTCAGTAGTTCTCTAAAATGACAAACAAAAGTAAAATCGCTTTCGTATTAAGTGTTAAGCCTTCCCAAACAAAAATAACACATCCTATGACGTCATTGTATGACGTCATCGCACGACGTCATTAATATGAAAAAATGCTAAAATTTCATCAAACAAAGTATATTAAARGATTGAAAATGGATGAAATTAATCTTTAGATTTAAGTCCGTAAAGCCAAGCATGCATTTTTGGAATGATTGGCAAATAATCTTTCTACGATTTTTTAAATGCCACAAATAAGCGAAAAATGCCAATAACTTTCGTATTTTTTAATTTTTCGCCAAACCCATGCTTGGTTCTGAAGAGGAGGCTGTGAAGAACATAAATATTGAAAAAACACGTCAATTTGATGTTTTGCACCAAAGATTATATTTTTTAAATGGTACCATACATTTAATGTATTAAACAAAAACCTTTCCACCGGAAGTAAACATTTTCCCGCCATGAAAAAGCGTGCACGTGCCCGCTTTTCTGATTGGCTAGCATCGGCTAGCATCGGCTAGCATAGCAACCAGGTCGTCTAGAAACGGATACGTCAGTACACCCTTAACTGATCATGAGGATACTAGCCAACACAGGATCATAATTTTTTTAAACTCCTGGAAATTTGTAAAGTTGAATTCAAAGTTCTCGAAGCAGACTAGTGCCCCCTCTGTTGTTTATAAAATTGCTGAAATCCTCGATATATGGCCTCAGAATCAGAAAACTAACATTCATTTGGTACTATCACAACTACTAAAATAGTTCTATTTTTCAAATACCTTTATTTGTTTGTCAAACATGTTATGATTTTATAATAATTGAATACGACTATAAATAATGAACTAGTTTGAGAATAAGCACACGTCAACATCAAATTCAAATTGTGACTTACTCGTTTGATGTTCAACTTTTCAGAAATATTAAATATGGAATCCAGATGAAGTGCAGTATATGCCGGCTTATTTGCTCTGCAATCACTGAAAAACGATACTTTCATGAATAATCATATGATAAACAAAATATTAAGGCCGATTTAGACGGCACAACTTTTGCCTACAACCATCGCATGCAACCTGAGTTAAGTCATCCTTACAACATAGCTACAACTGTCGTAGGGATTTCAAACGTCAATTGGTTAATAGCCATACGACAGTTGTAGCCATGTTGTGAGGATGACTTAACTCAGGTCGCATGCGATAGTTGTAGGCAAAAGTTGTACCTTCTAAATCGGCCTTTACGCAATAGTTGCTCACTTGTGAGAGATATTAATTTTATAAAAACAATCAAGATTTGAATTTTTTTATGGTGCAAATTTGCATGTGGATAAAAATGATAAAATCTATATCTCCACATCTCATCTATATTTTGCATAATAAAGAAAATATTGGATAACAGTCATATGGATATCATAGTTTATCAGTACTTACTTTAATGACTCTCCAATTTTGATGTCTGTTTTATTAGTACTCAGAAGKTTATTCAAAAGCAGTGGATCAAAGTATTGTTTGTTATCTAAAAACTGAATGAACACA